TGAGAAGCTTCATAAACTTGATCACTTCCAGAATGACATGTTTCGTCATCAGTGGTGTGGAGAGTATGGATTTCACTGTCCTCTGTTTCTGATTCTAATTGGCTACTATGTCCTCTATTATATGTGTCAGTCTTTCTTGATCGAACAGACCTTGGTTTACCCATTTCACTGATAATCTATTACACTTCAAAAGGTTCGTATCACAGGATCCAATAAAGTTTAATGAATCCCACCGTGGATGCCAAAATTATGTAGCGGGCAGGGGCTTGAAATGCTTGACCCAAAAGTTTTACTCCAAATTATGAGTAGTTTGTAAATTGCTAAGTTAATATGACAAGATATGAACTGGTCAGTATAATATAGGCATTTGTTAAAAGTAACATAAATAAGTTTCTATATTTTATTCATTTCAAGACTCAGATATTTTCATTGATATTCAAGATAAACAACAACAATTTTAAGTAGTAAGATACTTAAATTATAGACTTTTAGATTATATATGACAAGAATCTATTCAGTATACATGTAATATTTTATCTCTACACTCAAGAGATGATTAATATAATTTTTATGATTGCCGGATAACTTTGTCCGTGCAATTCTAATAAAAAATAACACTTGCTATTACCAATATAATTGTATGTTGGTATGTTAGAAAAATACCTAAAAGGCTGAGTCCTGCTATATTACCAAGAAAATAAATTACCCTTACAGAAAATACTAATTTCAAGTGAATTTAGTCAGAATACCTCTTTCTGACAATTTTGTAAATAGTAATAACTGATACCTCACCAGTTATATAAAAAAATGTTTATTATCATTAGTTATATTCAGAACCTTTCCTGAATAACTAACAATAAAATACAATTTATACCTTAAATAAACTGTTTTGTTTATTATAATTTCCAGACCTATAGGAAATTATCCCTTAATTGCCTAATGTTTTCCTATTTAATTTTATTTATTAGAAAAAGACAAACGTTAACAGTAACATGAAAACAATGAACAATTTCAATAATCCTAACTTTAAAAGATAAACTAGAAATAAAGCTTTGCCAGCAATAATACGATAATTAACCCAAAAGATATTCTAAAACAATTTTAAGAACTTTCCTAAATTTACTAAAAAAATAAAATACTTTAAGCAAAAGATCAAAAATGTAAGAGTCCGGCTCCTAAGAGTCCGCTAAAAATGAAATATTCCTTTCTAACTTAGAAAACGTTAAATTTACTATTTTCCTTTACAATTTAACCCCAAAAAAAATGAAGTTTGTTAGAAAAATTAACCATTTTGACAAAAATTACTGATGAGCGAAATAAAATACTAACTGTAACGACCAAAGATTTAAGCAGAACTGACGAACAAGCGTCGAAATTACGTCAATGTTGGATTGTTGGCAAAGTTGGAAAATTGTTGGATCGCGCGCTTGCTGTCCAACGAAATATTTGAATTCTCAAATAAATTACAAAAATCATAATAATATACAATTTTAGTAACAGTCATATAATAAACAAATTTTGCATGGTACTAAACAAATTTCTATAGTAGCTAAAAATACACCAATAAAACTTCACCGGAAGTCACAATACGTAAACAACATTGCCAAAAGTTATGTGTGTCACCGGCTAACCAAAATGACAAATATCAAGGATAGTGAGCATTAACATCTGCAAAACATTGAAGACGTTGACTACAAATACTAAAAGGAATTACAAAGAGTATTTGAAAACAGTTGCCGAAACGTAAAAATAGTGTTTTTATTGAAAAATCGTCCCAAGTGACACATGGGTTCCACTGCGCATGTCAGTACATTTCATTCATAAAATTCAAGCAAGGTGCGTGGATTTACTACGAGATTTACTACGATCTACTACAGTTGCTACAATTGGATCATCACAAAAATACAAGACATTCAGTGGATTATTACTATGAACTGGTAAATTATAACATGAACTTCAAATAGTTTATCAAATATTCAAATGACAGTAATTCAATATTTCTAGAAAATCATAATATTGTAATTGTTCTAACTTTACTTAATTAAATGTTAATTAAAACTTATTTGCTTCAATTATGAATATGTTTCAGACTACAATCATTACAAGTAATATAGTACAAGTTATTTCACACAGTTACTGTTTCCTACATAATAAGACTTTCATAAAAAAATACAGAATATTAAACAATATGCTCTATTAATACCAATTAAAACATACATCAAAAATATCTTCTCCCTGTCTATGTAAACTTACATGTACATCACACATGTCACAATAAAATACATGTACCCTAGTCTTCGTACTCTACACTACTATAGCGTGTTATAGTAGTCTCTGATTATATTGACAAAATTGGGTGAGCAACACAAAAGGAGGTAATAGGTTAATGTAAGGATAATTGCCATCCTGCAGCCAAAATTGTGTAAATATACATCACAACTGACAACACAGTTCAAACAAATACAAAAAATCAAAGAAAGAAGCTAACAAAAAAGGTGTAGTAGTTGGCTGTCCATTTTCAGAAGGTCTTTGGTATAGAGTTACAAAATGACAAAATGAAATTTGGGGGTGGAGCAATACATGGCCCTTATCACCTCTTGTCCTTTGACAAAGACGTCAACAACCAAAACTTTAAAAGTTCATAGTACACACCGTTTATAGTATACTCTATCTCGATAAAGTAAATGTTAAGCAAAATAAAATATAAGGATAAACAAAATGGAAAAAAATCATAAAACAGCACGATAACGAAAAATAAAATTAGCTTTGCAAGAATTTTAATAGTTATTAAGTATAAAAAAAAAAGTATTACTTAATCTTATTTTTTTAAAAGGGATCATCCCTATTTATTGCAGTTAAATTATCAAATAAGAATATCATCAAACTTTAATGTTAGATAGTCGACTGGATTCCTTGAATGTCAACCTTTAACTGTTAGAGGGATAACATCTCGGGTTTTTCAAAAGAATTAATTAACTTTGTGGCATGCAATGTTTTAAATTTTTAAACCATCTAACGAATATATTAAGAAATGAGTTTATCATCATGCAGTAGCTTTATGTATTCTTTCTTTTTTTTTAGAAATATGAATGCATGTGCATGACATATTTAACCACTAGGCGTTAAGCAATCAAGCTCTTCCTCGAAATCTTGTATTTGGATATTTAAGTAGCAACTGACTGGCCGCATATATAAAAACTTAACATCTCTTCTTCATTCTCAAAGTCTCAAGTTTGTCATACATTTACATTAACAAGACGCATGCGAGAATCAGATCCTCACATTGCACACACTGTCACTGGAACATCATCAAATTTCCGTCGATACTGGCAAGCTTTGCGAACAATTTAAAAAAAATCCGTTGTTACATTCAGATATTATAAAGAAACTGAGGTTCCACCTTATATGGATTAAGCTATTTTGTCAGTCCTTTTTGGTTATATAGCTGTTCACATGTTTAGGTCTTATACAACCTTGACATTGAAATGTTTTTATTTAAGCGTTCTGATGAATGTAAATCCACAAAAGCGCTTCGGACATAAACAATTATTTAAACTATTTATTGTAATACATGTATAATTATATTAGTGTTTGAATATAAATGTTGATATCAATTTCGGTACGACCGATATGTGATTTTCTGGAATGACTTTATAAATATCTTATGCCCGAGATCAAGAGTTAGAAAAGCTAACATCCACAAAACACATTGGACCATCTGCGTAATTGTATCAGGGAGTAGCAGGCCTGTTTTAAGTACAATTTCAGAATTCATTAAGAGGAAGTATATCAATTAAAAAAAAGAAAAACTACACGTTATAAATGTCATGTGTCCGAAGCGCTTTCTGGATTTACCTTCACCAGGAACGCTCAAAGCCAAATATTTGAAAGCCAAGGATGTATAAAAACCGAAACAGTCGAAGAGCTCTATGACCAAAAAAGGACCTAAAAGAGCCAAATCCTATAAAATATGTTCAGAAACTGTGGACAAACAGACTTTCTATCTAGTGGTGATGCATCTAGGTTTAAAAAAAACCAGAAAAACACCAAGAGTGCACACGCTGAAATGTTCAGCCTGCTTCAAATGTTGCTAATATTAATTTATCAGCTAACTGTTGGAAAGCACGATGACAAAGCCCTCATTATATACAGTAAAAAAATATATATAAAGAAGTCTAGTTAAGAAATCCAACATATTTATCACGGTCACATGTTTTATTGTTGGTTCTGCCGCATATCATGTCAGTTGTTTTTGTACCCCTATTTGTGACATTTTGTTAACGCATCATTGTCAATATAATGGAAATTGATGCGACTGTCGTACAAGTGAGAGGTTTAGCGCTATAAAACCAGGTTTAATCCACCATTTTCTACATTTGAAAATGCCTGTAACAAGTCAGGAATATGACAGTTGTTGTCCATTCGTTTGATGTGTTTTATCATTTGATTTTGCCATTTGATTAGGGACTTTCCGTTTTGAATTTTCCTCGGAGTTCAGTATTTTTGTGATTTTACTTTTTATCCTAAATGCAGCTTTTTTCAGGACTTTTCGTAAAACATCATCAAACATGTAATGGAGACACATCATGCATTTTCCCGGAGATTTATATTCCTGACTAACAAAGTAAGATGGAAATAAAAAAATAATCCTTCATTTTCATACAGTTTTATCTATGTTTTCTTACCAGTAGCTATATATATATATATGATCTTTTAAGGGAATTGATTCTTATTTTGAAGAAGGAAGAAGGAAATTCTAGGAAATTTATGATCAATCATTTTTATCATATTTCAACTGGCTTATATAGTTATATAAGCCAGTTGAAATATAATATAAAACAACATGTGTTGTTTATTTTTTCAGTATTGAAGTTTCGGACAGTTGATCTCGTGCTATCAGAGTATCGAAGACTTGCTTAGGGAGCCCCTTCAAATGTGTTCGGGATGGCAAGTACATATAGTGATTAATATTTCTATGTCATCGAAGTTCAAGGTGCATCTAATTTACCTGGGTTATCTTTCGTGTCAGTTTTTGCAGTAAAAAGTATTTTGTTTTAATATTTCGATTGCAGTAAAAAGTACATTTTTTCCGCATTTGAATTTATATATCTTTTGTAATTATAACCTCTAAATGGTAAGTTTGTTTATATATATTTATATTAATGTTAATACTCAAAATTGAACATGTGTACTGCATATATAGATGATTACTTCCGCTTACATTCTACTTGTCTGCCACGTAAACAAAACTACATATTAAGCAAATGATAAACATGTATCCTGGAATTTATACTTAGCCTGTTAACAAATAGATTTAAAACTAATCACCTGGGTGGTTGAGGAATCCCCGATCGAGCTAAACAAAACAAATACTCAAATTTGATTCGATGTTAACCATGTTAACTTTCAAATTTTATTATTATTTTTTTTATTTCATACAATTTTATTGAAGTGTTCTATTTGTTCATTACTGATACAACGCCGTTCCAGAAATCTCAAAAATGGAAAATCTGAGAACTCTGAAACGAAAAATGCAAACGATAGAAGAACAATTGATATAAAAAAAGCTTTTATGTTAGGATTTTGTGATAAAGGCCGGGCTTGTACAAAAAAGGTTTGAACTCCATACCTAATAGGCGTCGTGAAGACTGGTAAAACATAAGATTTACTGTTGAATGTAAACTACGCAATCACATTTATTCACCCATAATTGATTTAAGGTCAGATTACAATTCGTTGAGGTTTTGTCTGATAAGTACCGCTTATCAGGTTGTCTGCATATTGATATTGTAAATTATCTGCCGCGAGTCACAATATGAAGCTTTCATCGAGTGAGCGCAGCGAACGAGTTAAAAAAAGCATCATATTGTGTCGAGTAGCTGATATTTTACAATATCAATATGAAGAAAATCTGATAATCGATTCATCGGATTGTATTTGTATAATTTGCATGACAGAAACAAGTGTTTTTCTTTGTTTCACCAGCGAACAGGTTAATTCATTATGACGTCGGTGATTTGTCCGGTTCAAAGTTATTAAGGTCCGGGTCAACGTCTTTGACGTCACAAGGCCGTGATATGCAACTGTATGAAGAGCTGCAGTGTGATATAGATAGTGGGAACACCGATAAAACGGTTTACTGGTAACATGTATTATTTGTGATTGAATTGTTAAGTTTTGATTTCGGATGTACAGTTTTCGTTTTGTGATATAAATCACGATTCCTTTCTCGTCAACTTCCTGTTTACAGAATACTTATATATTATTCTACACATATAGGCCATGTACGAAATTTAGTCGCATTTTTCTTGCAAGTTGCAAAAAAAAAGCTTCATGAAATTTGTTACCAGGCTTCATGTGAACATACTTTAACATGTAATGCGTTTTCAGATTCTGTTCTCTTCATCTTCCTGGTTGCCGAAAACTTAACACGAGGTATCATTAGTGAGCAATAGCTCACAGTTCTACTGGTTTGAACCGATTGTTTTGTCATACAAGTGGGGATATGGTTCTGATGAAACAGCTGCCTTAACCCACCACTTTAATGCAAACGAGTCTGTACTATACCAAGTCGACGATGTACCCTATGCCGATCGATCGAACTCGGGTGATTTCCCCCCAAGAGAAGCCAGTATATATATTAATTGTGTTTTTTTTTAAACGAAAGACTGATGTTTAATTGATAACAATCAAAGATATTGACTCATAAAAAGCAGTTTAATCATTTTCCATTAGATTCTCTCTACAATAATTCATGTGACCAAGACAGCGGACCATCGCTCATGAAGTAACATAATAATTACAAATGTTCTGGAAAGTAAAGAATAAATATAATATCCGAAGTCTCTTTATGGCGGACTTGCAATATTTATTGAAGTATCATATTGACAATATGATAAGTATTATATTGACAATATGGTACTTCCATGCACTATTTAAGGGGTTTGATTAATTCAATAATTTTTCAGTGTTTAATGATTTTCGTATTCGAGCGTGATTGCTGAGTCTTATGTAGGCGAAACGCGCGTTTGGCGTACACAATCCTAATCCTGGTATCTATGATGAGTTTATTTACGCGTTCATACATACTTGTTTCCGTACACCAATCTAATTATGATATAGATCTCTGTTTTCATTATGGTGTTCGACAATCACGCGAGTTCCGACAGATCTGAATTTTAATCTGATTGAGAATACGTCAAAACATCAAATCCCACTATCCATCATCCATTCCGCCGTTCCAATTTTTTCATGAAATGATCTTTGTTTTAGAGAAAATAATCTTTAAAAAATTCATGGAATGAGACTTCTGAACTGCCGCATGATTTTTTTGTGTGTGTTATTTTAGGTTAAACCTGTGTAATGATGTGCAAATCATACAAATAGCATTTCTTCATGCAAGCAATCGCCATTCCGAATTAGTTATGGCAAGCTTAAGAGAACTACCACCCAAGCCAGAACGAAATTTAAAGAAGTATGATCTTCAGATCGTCAACGCTGCTATTCAGCATCTCTGCAAAGAAGAAAATGATAGTTTGACTATTGAAGAACTAAAAGAAAATGTAGAGAAAAGTCTTGGAAGAAAGTTTCGGTTTTCCTTTCTACCTCTGCTACAAAAATTCGATAGCAACTTTTTTGTGGAAGACCGTTATAATTCAAAATTGATCAGAGCAAAAACGACATTAGAGCTGTGTCCATCGCACAGCGGAATACGGAAAAGATGCGATAAAACTTGCAATAAATTACACATCTGTAAATATTATCTGTTATCAAATTCTTGCACCGTTAAAGGATCTAGGTGTCGTTTTGGTCACAATTTGAAATCCGACTATAACAAGGCACTTTTAGAATATCACGACTTGGTTGAAATAGATGTTGAGGAGCTAAGAAATCTATTTAAAAGCCCTAGAAATAGATGTCAGGTGACACGACCACCAATATGCAAATTTTACAACTTAGAAAAAGGCTGTTCAAAGGAAGCTGGATGTAAATTTCTGCATATTTGTAAACCTTATGTTACCGGATCATGTCGTTTTGGAAGGAGATGCAGACAAAATCATAACATTTTCCAGCCTCAATTGAAAGGTAGAATTTTTATCTTATTATCGAATAGTTTGTGTTTCCTTTTTTTATAACCTCAAATTAAAGAATTGGAATATTTTGTATTTAGATATTGAATATTATGTGAATAGAAATTATGAATGTATTTTGTTGCATGTGCAATTGTTCATCAGATAATATACAACTTAACAAAATAATGGGGAAAAAATGTAAATATTTTAGTTTCTAGAATATCAGCATTTACATTTTTTAACATAAAATGGCATTGGACGTTAAAAAGGTAAATGCATTCCTTATTAAGGCGAATGACGAGTAAAACATATTAGAAAGTAATGAAGAAAAAAATGTTACGAGCAAACAATCTTTACAAGTTCATTCCTGAAGTACGTTTACGATTTGCGATTTTTAATAACGTTTGTTTATTATTTTCATATTCAATTTCACATCTTTCATTTTCTAGAACTTCTAGTAAAATATGGCATCAATATAAAACAGAGTGCAAGAGACATTGTAGAAGAATTGAAAGAGTGTTTCACTGAGGACTCGGACGATGACGTCAGTGATTCAGACGATGAAGTACTAGTACCTCAGGCACGACCACAACCCAGGAATCGTGGCATGATCAGGTAATGAAGAGTTGTCAGTGATACAGACGATGAGATACCAATAACCGTGGCACGTTCACAACCCAGGAATCGTGGAATGATCAGGTAATGAAGAGTTGTCAGTGATACAGACGATGAAGTACCAATAACCGTGGCACGTTCACAACCCAGGAATCGTGGCATGATCAGGTAATGAAGAGTTGTCAGTGATACAGACGATGAAGAACCAGGAATCATGGAATGATTAGGTGATGAAGGGCTAGTCAGTGATACAGAAGATGAAGTACCAATAACCGAGGCAAGTTCACAACCCAGGAATCGTGGAATGATCAGGTAATGAAGGTGTAAACAGTGATACAGACGATGAAGTACCAATAACCGTGGCAAGTTCACAACCCAGGAATCGTGGAATGATCATGTAATGAAAGTGTAGTCAGTGATACAGACGATGAAGTACCAATAACCGTGGCACGTTCGCAACCCAGGAATCGTGGAATGATCAGGTAATGAAGGTGTAGTCAGTGCACGTGATACAAACAATGAAGTTACAGTAACTGTGGCACGATCATAACCCAGCAATGGCATGATCAGGTAATTAAGATGTAGTCTGTGATACTAACGATGAGGTACCAGTGACTTCGGAACGATTACAACCAAAGGATCACGGCATGATCAGGTAATGAAGATAAAGCATATATAGCAAAATCACAACTCAGAATACTGGCATGATCAGGTTAGTTATAATTTATTTTGATGCATGTACATATGAAGCTACAATTATCACACCGCTTTCTTCAATAAAATACATCTATGACACCGCAGAGAATTTGAATTTCAACTATTTGGTAATGCTGATAAAATATAGTACTACTAACTCAATGCTAAAGCTAGAAAAAAGGTATTCATTTTTTGGGGGGCAGCACAATATTGACATTAGTAGATACGTTTACATCTTTTTTACAGATCAAAATCAAACCCAAGCCTGTTTACGGGAATGTCGAGTTTATCAGTAGCATGTAGTTGTGACATAGACGAACCACTACAGGCAGAATCTGAAGAAATATGCATCTATTATTTGAGAGGAAATTGTCGATACGGAGCTAGATGTAACATGCAGCATAAAGCTAGTATGTATCAATGGCAGTTTAAAGACACAAGAGGCAAATGGACTGATTACAGACCAGCGACAAACGTGGAGATAGAACAGAAATACTGTGATGTGTACACTGTTGACTGCTGTATACAGTTTGGGTATGTACTGTGATGTGTGCATTGTCAACTGCTGTCACACAGTATGGGTATGTACTGTGTATAGAAGTTAAGGATATTCTGTGAATTTATAATGTTGACTACTATATACATTTTTATAGGTGTGTTCTACTGATATGTATAATGTTGTCTGTTATATAGTTTGATATATGTGTTCTATGCATGCATGGATGTTTATAATGTTGACTGACATAAACAGTTTTGTATACACGTGTTCTGTAGATGTGTATAATGTTGACTGTTATATAGAGTACGTTAACGTTTGGTTATGTTCTGTGTCGTTTATAGTGTTTCTTATTGTATACAGTTTTATAGGTATGGTCCGTGGGTGTGTACAATGTTGACTGATGTATAGAGTTTAGGTGTGGTATGTGAATGTGTTCAATGTTGACTGATGTATAGAGTTTAGGTATGGTATGTGGATGTGTACAATGTTGACTGGTGTATAGAGTTTAGGTATGGTCCGTGGGTGTGTACAATGTTGACTGATGTATAGAGTTTAGGTATGGTCTGTGGATGTGTACAATGTTGACTGGTGTATAGAGGTTAGGTATGGTCTGCGTAATGTTATGTATATTTGACTGCTTATACGGTTTTATATGCGTGTTCTGTTGATGTGTATATATAATGTCTGATGTTTAGAGATATGATATGGTTAATGTGATGTTTATAATGGTGACTTTTGTATGTAGTTTCATATATGTGTTCTGTGGATGTGTATAACATTGTCTGTTGGTAAGAGTTTTTGGTATTTACTGTGATATGTATTATGTTAATTGCTTTAAGTCGTATGGGTAGGTAGGCATATTTTATCATATAATTATCTGTAAAAGGTTAAATATTTCATACCGAGATGATTCGATGGTTCTGCCTTCGAAAAAGTGACGCATTGCAAACTTTATTTAATATTTAATCACTGTTTAGGATATTTCAGGTCATGGTTATTTGTTATGCTCCGTATTCATTTTCTTGTTGCATTTAAGGCAGCTGCTCTACTTACCTGGGTCAAATGTCCAACGTGAACTATTGAAATCACTTGACGTCCATCCTAAACAGTTTTAGAAGTCTTCCCATCGGAAACCACTGTACCAATTGTGACATAGCTAGGCCTGCATCACCCGTAATGAAAACTACTAAACTTGATAACACCCATGTCAAACCATTACGGCATTTATTTCCAAAAATAAAATGTTGACCAATCAACCAACATAATTCATTAAAAAAATAATCTTGAATTGGACCAACTGCTATCAAACTTGTAGGCAATAACATTATGTTTGATGGCCATAATCGCCTTTAAACATAACAGCCACTGTCAATAAAATTGAAATTTGACACCAATTCAAGTTTAGAAAAAATATTTCCTTGGTTAGATTTTAAGTAATGTTCGATAATTGCATAATCTAACCGACATGGCTGCTTTGCTGAAAATATAATAATTTGGATACAATTCCTTTTACATTTTTGGTTGATTACTCTAGTCCTCTTCAAAAATAGCCACCACTATAACTTATAAAAAATCTCTTATATTTTATTCAGACTGACTGAAAAATGGAAATCACACAAGCCCGGAAGGAATTTCTATTACATAAATTGAAAAATGCAATGAAATTTCGAAAAAGTATAGTATAAGGCTGGCTAAAGACCTCCTAACGGTTAGGTTAAATTGGATTGAAAATAAACCAATCAAAAACAAATATTAACATGTTTTAAGGAACCCACAGGAACGTAGGAGCCGGGGAACAAGGGGCAACAAATGTGTTTTTGACCCCTCCCCTATAAACAAGGAGCGACTGTTTTGATCGGGTAAAATTGTTTGAAGTGCGTAAAATATATGCATCTTTAAATTTAATTCTGGTCTTAATCTGCCTTTTCCAGCAAGCAAATACGAATGAATATGGATTTCATACAAATGACAGGGAAGAAAAAAGGAACCATTATCAATATTAGGAGGTTATCAACCGAATCATCAGCGGTTCAGAAATTTCAACCTTTAGCAACAGAATACAAATGGTACTGGGAAGATCAAAGAGAAAGGTGGATTATTTACGGTGGACAGGTATTTTAATATTAAAGTCGATAAGCTCAAAGTTTCTCGCTACCGTGAAGTAGTTTCTTCTTTCAATGATATAGTTTTTATTGGTCGTCCCTGTGCCTGTATCAACTGACTAGCTCTTCTAAAATTGATTGCATCATATATCTCTTATATGCTACGGCATTCCAGAAGTTGCTTTTCCATTCATAATTTGTATAATAGAGGGTTTCTGCTTGCAAGAAAGCTATTGAACCAAGGGTTCCAAATGACAAATTTAAAGTCATCACTTCCAAAGTTTTACGGACGCCATCACGAGTTCGTTGGCCGTTTTGGAATATCTGTGTCACATATGACCTAGTATATTCAAATTGTCGTCCACAAACCCTAATTTCCTCGATTGGGACATCATCGAATGCGTACATAACACGAGCAAAATGACGGGTGCAACATGTGGAGCATGATCTGTTTTCCCTTTCCGGCTTTTGCTGGTGTTTTTCTTGCTCGGTTTTTAGTTTTATATGAAAGAGAGGCGAAAGATACCAAAGAGACATTCTAAATAACAAGTCTAAAATAAAATGACAACGCCATGGCAAACAATGAAAAAAGACCAAAAGACAAACAATAGTATACAAAACACATCAAAGAAAACGTAAGGCTGCTAAACATGAACGCCACCAAAAAACTTAGGGTGATCTCAGATTCTCTGGAATGTTTAGCAGATCCGGCTCCACTAGTGGCACCCGTTGTGTTGCTCATGTTGCTCATGTGAGTATAAACCCGGTGATAAGTCTAATTCGGTAGGTCACATTGGAGGACAGAGGACGGGATTGTGGTTGCAACATTTGGAACATATCTGTCGTCATCTGTGAAACAGATATTCCATAACGGTCAACCAACTCGTTGCCGTTATTAGTTCATTTCAGACTTATGAGTTTGAATGTCCCTTTATTATCTTTCGCCTTTTTTTTTTTGGTTGTGAGAGAGCTGTTTACTGTTTTTATTATTCCATTTGTTCTATTTCTTTAAATTTAAGTTTAGTACATCCACTCATTTGAACTTTAGTGGATAGTTGTCTCATTGGCAATCATACCACATCTCCTGATTTCAACTGCACCACTTGGGACTCTTGGTTAAAAAGCTTCCTTGTGAGCAGCAACACTCTATCAAGGAAATCATGATAGGAAATGCAAGCCCTGGAATATCGTATCAACTGGCAGAAATATACTGCAGGCGCTGATGAAATGTTGCTACATAGAAATGGAAAGTTCCCAATTGGGAAGCAGAAGCTCTTTTTTTGTTAAGTTTTGTTCTCAACCAATTCTCGTTGGTTCATTTTTAGATATAAGTCAAGATATGAAGTAGACTTAACTGTGTCTGTTGTATCTTTTATTTGAAGTTTGATGGGATAGGTGCGTTCAACAGTCATCAAACTTTGAATTATTTAGTGAGATGACATTATTTATATAACGGAAAGTGAAATTAAAGGACAATGAAGTGTTTTGTAGACTGTTGTTTGACTTTTCGCGCACCAGAAATTTTTAAATGATGGCTCGGTGTACACAGTTAAATGTCAACAGTGCATATTCTTTAAACATGACGAAGATGAGGCGAAAGACACCAAAAGGATATTCAAACTCATAAATCGAAAACAAACTGACAATGCCATGGCAAAAAAAAAACAAAAAACGACGAAACGCGAACAGTACACAAAACACAACATAGAAAACTAAAGACCGATCAACACGAACCCCATCAAAAGCCGGGGGTAATCTCAGGTGCTCCGGAAGGGTAATCAGATCTCCCATCACATGTGGCACCCGTCGTGTTGTACAAAACCATGCCATTGCTAAAGTAAATAAACACCTAAATGTGTATCTTGTAAAATCAAAATTCGACAAAATGTTAAATACAAAAACTATCTGGTATTCTATTCAGAATGTCACAGGTTATGCTGCTATTTTGGACAGTGAGAGCTTGGAAATGAATTATCACGAGAACCCATGTGGTCAAATGAAGTTCAAAACAAGAGGACACGACTACATTATGGACTTTCAAAAAATGGTTCAGAAAAATGTTGTCCATAAAACGGAAAGATGCGTTCGTAGACGGCCTGTATTTGTTTGTGCTGAAGATGTGGAGTTGAAAAGGAGAAAGTATGTAGGAGAAGTTAAGTAGATGGGTGCTTAACTTTCAGTTTGATTGCATCACAATATTAGATTTTGACGACAATCTTCTGAGAGTTTTTGTCCAAATAGCTTTCCTAACGTCCAAATAATCGGTAGTTTGGATCTTTTTAAATAGTTATCAAAGGTACCAGGATTATAATTCAATATTTTAATTTAAACATTAGGATGAAGTTGGACGCCCAATAATTTAGTTTACCCTCGAAGATATGTGGCCTACTGATACAATTTATTCAACCAGTTTAATTTTCAGAACACTTTATTAGTACCACAACACATATCTAGATTGTTATTTTAATTTTGGGAATCTAACGATATTTTAAATCATCATTATTATAATAAGGTAGAAAGAACGTTAACCATGTTATGGGTATGCATCAGATAACAATCTGACCTTTATACTGTGATTATAAATGGAATGCCTTCGACAACATATAAGCTGACATCTTAACAGTAATATAAAACGGTCAGCAGCGTGAACTAAAACAACATTAATTTTTATAATATCAAAAACTAACGGGTAAAATTTTCCTACCAATTCTCTCATCTGTAACCAGAAACCTGAAGCTTAATTACAACCACCTATTGACTAGGAAATCAGCAATAATTGTAAACTAACTGTATAATATGCATTAAAAAGTTCCTATATTGTTAATACTATTGGAAACGACACATTTTCGCTCGTCAAAGAATTTGAGGTCTTCCTCTGGTACAAACCCAACTCCTATATAGGATCATTTGTTGTAATATGCATGTGAAAAACTCAATATCATTTGGTTGAAGACTTTCAAGATGACGAACTGTAATTCCGGTGCTGTAATTTTGATATTTTATTTCATATTTTCGTATTTGTTCCAAGGAAGCAATGTAATTTCTGTTTTTTGAAACCATTTTCTTGCACCTTTATTAATTATCATTACGCTTTTCATACTTCATAAATTATACTCTATCTTAAATCTTTATGTATAGTTTTTTGTATAGTATTTTCATCTTTTCATATAGTCTTTTTTCATTTACTTCGGAATTTTGATTGCCCCATGGTATTTTTCCCACCATGGAAATCTTTTTTTATAAAATTTCAATACTCATATAATAATTCTACAATCCTGTACCATTGCAGGTCATCTGATACTGGTACTATGAAGAGATCTACATCATGTTCCACTTTAGTTCTAACACCACTGTCCTATGATCAAGCATCTCATATACCGTCATCATGGACTTTCGATAAAAGACGCCGGTCAGAAGACTTAATCCATCATTATAGTTTGGTTCGTAGTCCAGATAGTGAAATAAGTTCGTATAGTACAAATATTAACTTCAAATTACATATATATATTGATCATTCATTTAAAAACATTTTAGAAGCCGGTTAATGTTGTAACATCATTTTCTTACAATAGCATATAAAATTGATACAAGATTTCAAATTAGTCTTTTCAGTACCACTTTTAAAACTAGAAAAAATTTATAGAGTTAAATAGGTATAAAAATATATATACAAAATACTTTGCTATTGAATTATACATTAATGAGATTTTGTATCTATCTATTTTCAATTAAATAAAAGATGTTAAGAAAAAGATTGTTTTCCCATCAAAATTATGTTGTAAAATTGGCTTCATGACGACTCCCCTCTTTATGGTGGATGGGTTGCTGGGTGGAAGGAAGGATGAATGAATTATGTACATTTTATAAGGAAAAATCTTAATATGAATGAATTCATAAATTCGTGGATGTAATGGATGGACTAACGGAGTAATTGTTTTTGCCAAAGGAAACAAAAATTTGAAATCTGAAACTTTAAACAAATGGTGAATAGTTAAAAAGAAACGATATTTACCAAACAATTTTTCCTAAATACCAATCTGAAGACATTTACGAATGAGTTTTACGTGTTTATTTCTACTTCTATACAAATGCGCTTTGTCATTCAGGTAGAATGTCAAAAGACCGGTCCTGAAGGCTGCACGATAAGGAAAATGTTTTTTGAAACAATGCCAAAGTCATGCAATATTGTATCCATAAAAAGGATTGAAAACGGCGAATTATGGATGAATTATGTGAGGTAAGTTTTCCTAGTATATGTCATTTTCATAAATAAAATTAAAAAATTCGCTGACATGTGAAAACAAACAAAGAAGAAGGAAGATGAAATGAAAACAGCATCCCAACAATACAATTTCAAAACTTTAAAACATATAAACGTATTATCATCTGACTGTCAGGCCATTGATTCATCTAGCTGTCAGTTCGTATAGTCGTTTGACTATCAGACCATATAGTCAACTGACTGTCAAACCATAAAGTCATCCGGCTGTCAGATCGTATAGTCATCTATAGCAGTCAGATAGTATAGTTATCTAGCAGTCAGATAGTATAGTTATCTAACAGTCAGATAGTATAGTTACATTGTATCTGGCTGTCAGACCGTATACCCATTTGACTGTCGTAAAGTCATGTAGCTGCCAGACCGTTTCGTCATCTGACTGTCAGGCCGTATAGACATACGTGTATGACTGTCAGACCATTGATTCTTGTATGTCAGGATCGTGTAGTCATTTGACTGTCAGACAGTATAGTCATTTCATTCTGGTTTTAACTGGGTCTGTATAGTCATCGCTGTCAGGATCGTGTAGTCATTTGACTGTCAGACAGTATAGTCATTTCATTCTGACTTTAACTGGGTCTGTATAGTCATCGGGTGGTCAAACAGTATAGATATCGTCCTGGCAGGCCGTATTGTAATATGGTTTATCAGTCCATGTAATCATCATTCTGACTTCCAGAGCATTGTCATTAGACTGTTAGATCGTAGTTATATACCTGTTAGCCCATATAGTCAAATGGTTGTCGGGTCGTAAAGTCTTGTCAGAAGTATAATATTAAATACAAAATTACAAATGACAATAATTTTCGAAGACACTGTAATATATACAATATATTACGATTTTATAAGATTGATTCAACTTGTAGGAATTTAATGCAAAGTGCTGTATTTTCAAGGAATTGTTATTGATAAAATTTCCAAATTTAGGAATTGTCCCTTACATCTCTCTTCCTAGATTAAAAAACTTTTTGATGAACGTTATCATTATACTTTTGTTGTAAGATCACAGTGTCTAGAATGTTTAAAGATTAATATCCATCCGTTTTTATAGTATTGTAGTATTGTAACGAAAATATGTCTTACTTCACTTATTAAAAAAAAATGTGTTTTTTTACTGGTTTTTTTTGCGTTTCGTATGTAACATTTTAAGAATCCAATTTTGGATATCGGGCTATTTAAAAAAGACACCGTGAAGATGAAAATCATTCGTTTTGAGTAGAACATATTTAAAAATAGAGATTCTGTAGTAGAAGTCAAAATCCTAAATTCTTTTGTAATAATGTACAAATTGAATTTTTGTAGTAAAAGAGAAAAAATGAATATGAGGAAAACATTTGGTGGTAATGTAATGGAACTACAACTATTTCATGGTACCAATGAAGATTTAGTTGATGCAATATGTCGCCAAGGCTTCGACTTCCGGTTCAGTGGTAGTAAAATAGGTCATAAATACGGCAAAGGCAGTTATTTTGCGAAAATGGCTCAAACTGCCGACAGTTACACGGATTTTGGAAGAAAAAAACGCATGTTTGTTGTTCGAGTTTTAGCTGGAGAATATACCCTTGGTGAAACGTCGTTTGTTCGTCCTCCTTCAAGGAAGCCCTCTGATCCCTTCGAACTTTTCGACTCATGTGTAGATAATGTGCGGAATCCGAATATATTCGTCATTTTCACTTTCGATCAAGTGTACCCAGAATATGTAATAGAATACCAACAATCCAATTTAAAGTATAATGAATTTTAACTTTTTTTTATATTTGAGAACTTGTCTTTGAATATTGTTATTACAATTTCATTTCTTATAATTCAAAATAATCCGTAAAAGACTTACAAGATAATTAGAGGACAATCAGTCATGTATTAATTCAAATTTATAAAAAAAAACTCATGACATTTTTTTAAAACATAATGTTAGATTAGAATGTATTTAGTACAAGAACTATATAAATCAGATCAATTGTCACCAGTAATGGTGGATCCAGGTTCCGAGAAAAAAGGGGGCGTTATTGGCCACAATGGTACAGACAGGGAAATATTTTTTTACAATTTTAAGCAAAATTTTTCACTTTATAATAAATACTTGAATTGCAAATAATCACGTGTAGATTTTGATTTAGAGGGATGTTATAGTCTCGACATTACAGTTATTTATTTCTAATGTTAAAATAAGAAGATGTAGAATGATTGCAAATGAGACACTTTAATTTCGCCAGAGTCCAAATAACGTAAAAGTTAGCAACTATAGGTTATCATACAGTCTTCATCAATAAGCAAAACCACATAGCAGGAGACACATAGTTCACTATATATACATGTCTCTGCGCATAGCAAGCTATACAAGGCCCTGACACGACAATTGTAAAACAATTGAAACTAGTAAACTAACGGTCTGATTTATGTACAAAACAATAAACAAAAAACACATATGACATACAGCAACAAACGACAACCACTGCATTACAGGCTCCTGACTTTGGACAGACACATACATAATGTAGCGGGGTTCACCCTTCCCTTAATCTGGTACAGTGGTGTAACAGAACAACATAACAAACAAAACTCAGTATAACAATCAGTTGAATAACCCATTATATCGATTCCAAGCACACAAAACAACTAACAAAAAGACGAAGACACGAAGAACCGATCTGAGAGATTTAAGATTGTTAACTCTTTTTTCAATAGTCATAGAAGAACTTCAAAATCGTGAAGATGTACTAGTATATCCTTATCAAAATTACTCTAATACAGTAGTCTCGGATATAATTTTACTAAGACTAGTAACACACTAATGAATGCTTTAAAAATACTTGTTACATTGTATGTAAAGTCTTGCAAACATTTTACTAAGCAAACTAGCTTCTTTTGGCTGGTGATATGTGGCGGCTGATGTTAAATATATCGGACACTATAAACGTTCCAGCAGATCTTATTGTGCTGCTCGAAATAGTATATCTAGCAAGAATCATTCCTTTGCCTTACGGAAAAATTGTTAAAAGTTCGAAAAATACCCCCCCCCCCCCCCCCCCCCCCCCTTTTCCAATAAGAGTATACATAATTAAGAAGTATTTGTTTCCAATTTGAAAATGCAGCCGCAGATCCGGAAATCAACAAAATAAGATTATATCCCATACAATAGATACAAAGTACTTGGGGAATTAAATACCCGGATGGAAATTATCTTTTCTTCAAAAGCACTCCATAGGATTAACGAGGCGTATATTTATCCGGTATACAGCCAAACAAAAATTGTTCCATTTATTTTATCCATCATCACATCCTATTACCGGTTATCGGTACGACAGATGCAATATGTTAATCAAATACAAATCTGATGTACACGATTGCAATATCAATTGTATTGCAATGGTAACAGAGAGGAGACAAAAATATGCTGTACAGGTGTCAGACCACCAATTCAAAATCCCTATCTATTCAACCAAATTTTGCAAATTTCACAGCTTTCCAAATATTTTACCTTAAGGATGTACTTAGGTGAGGGTTTGTGAAATTCAAAAAATCAAGAATTTAAAATTGATACTATAAGTTAAAAGAGCATTGGTGAAGAATCAAAATAAGCAAAAAATATTGATAGCTCATGGACCTCCTTTTCGAGATATTTCATATTTAAAATATGGCGGGAAAAGGCTGACTCCGACTTTTACCTTATATTTGCATTGGTATTATTTGGGTCTCAAATCAAAAGAAGGAAAATCAACAATCTGCTATAATTTCGGTAAATGACCTTTTATGAGCTATTAAATCTTGTATGAAAAAATAAATGGGTGTTATGGGGAAAAATATTTTACCTTGTATTGTATGGAAAAACACCAAGGAGTCCGAATATTTGACACAAATGCCAAAACCTCACCTAAGTACATCCTTAAGTTTAACTGCATAGAAACCAGGTATATCCTGATTGTATATGGTGATGTATCATCTTTCTTCATGCCAATCTTCAACCTATGTTTAAAGTCGTGTAAGGAAATACTAACGTCGGAAGACAAGTACTACTAAAAATAACTTTTCACTATCTTTTCTTGCCTCTAAAAATGTTTATTAAACTTAAATACTAACTTGAGATATGAGTTTGATTCTACAACTTCTATTTTTTTTTCAAATTCAAATACAAAGTTCTGACTATTTTTCATTTACAAAAAATTGTTCAATATAAGAAATTGCATGTACTATTAAGAATACAAATAACAAATTACAAGGTAAAAACATTTCCAGTATTTAGAAAAAGGATACAGTAATAAGCTTTCCTGACTTTTCCGGATATGACGGATTTAAAACAGTTTTCTCTTATAATTATATATTATAAATCTAAAATAAACACTTACTTCAATATGATAACGTTTAAGAATATTCGCTAATATTTTCCGAAACAAGATGTACAGAAATATTTGTAAAAGGAAATATTTATTGTTGCTCTTAACCAGTTGTGTCAGTATCTCATTATTTCATTACGTTCATTTCACAAGTTTCAATAGAAAAACAAAGAGACTAGAAACAAGTATATACCATAGCGATTGGAATTTTACGTCAGGTGCTTATACCTCTGACAATCTTTCTTCTGTGTTGAACGAGCTAAATGAACTGGGCGCACTTATTCGTACAAAAGTGCCAGAAAGTAAAACATTTGGAAATGCTTACAGCGGAAAAGTAACACAACAAATACAAAGTTACATAACTGTTATTAAAGATTTTAACAAAAGCTATCCAATACGGAATATCTGTGAGATTGGATTTGCAGGCGGTCATAGTGCAGCAGTGTTATTATACACAATTCATGGCGCAACATACACAGCATTTGACAAATGGGAAAACTCTTCGTACCAAGAAACATCATTAACTTGGATAAAAAACAAGTTTTCAAATCGCAAAATTACAATAATAAAAGGTGACTCGACAAAAACAGTTCCAAAATTCAAGGGAGAGTGTGACGTCATACATATAGATGGCGCTCACCATTCTCGCTCTCCACAGTTGGACACGATCAATATGATGAGAATTGCTTCAGTAAATAACCTGCTACTGATAGATGATTGCATAAACTCATGGCCTTCAGTTACCAAAGCTGTTGAATATCTGATCAAAAATGATTTAGTTTATAATATGAAGCAATACATAGCAACAGAATGGTCTCAGCATGGTACTCAAAAAGGTTGGTGTATCGGACATTATAAAAAGACTTGGTCAATCAATCAGTTCGTTCAAAATTCACTTAATTTTTTTTCATATAAACAACCCTTACTAAAAAGTTCTGGAAACTTTCAGACAAATTCTTTTGTATTTTTGAACAAAGTGTTTTGTATGCCATCTTGGCAGGGCCCAGAATGTGAGGAACACATAATTACACCGTGTTCGAAGTTCAGTGATGAATGTTTCTATAATGATCAAAGTGGTGTTTTAGCTGTTTCATGTGACCGTTGGCACAAAGCTCAGAAGTTCAAGCATCTTGCATGGGATTACAGGGACACAAACATCGATAGAAATGGTCATATCAAATCTGTCAACTATCATGAAATACTACCATTCGATTTAGGTGATGTAATAGAAATTGGTGCCGGGCCGTTTACCCAATCCCAAAGTATATTAAGAAATAAAACAGTTTCAAGTACTAGTATCACTTTACTGGAACCAATGGCTTTTCATTATATGAATCACGTGAACAACTGTGTTTACAAAACTGGTAGTTTCGAATCTTTACCAACAACAATATTATCAATGCCTGCAGACGAATTATTAAATTACACACGTAAATATGATACTGTTGTTATGATTGATGGGATAGAAAATGTTTACGACGCATTGTCGACTCTGAGTATAGCTGTTACTCTACTGAAGGAAAACGGTCTGTTTATCTGGCATGAAAGGTTATGGGATGACTACCGAGGTGTTGCGAATTCTCCAGAAGACCGCGAGTTCCATATTCATCCAATACGGATTAAGTCGGTAGTTGTCAAACAAGTAATGACAATGTTTGATGAGCTGTATCTTTCTTGGCATACGGACGAATTACGTAGATTGAAAAATAAAGATGTGTATTTCATTGGCAAAAAACTTAGCAAAGAAATGAAAAGTAATATACCAGAACGCACTTCTTGCTATGACAGAAATGTAGGCAGGCAAACTATTATATTCTTTATATCAATCTCAAACTATACATTTCTGACTGAGGAGATAAAAATGGCTGACCAATCAACGAATACACAAAGAATCATACTCATTCAAACAGAGAGCATGAACAAAAATATGTCGGACATTTTCAGATTCACAAAAGTTCAGATACTAATTTCACATCATCATTTACCAAATTGGGAATTCGAAATAAGTTATTATACATCACCTTGTGTTCATATAAGTCCGCATTTAACAAGCGTTTTATTGAATAGTTCTGATACCGTGTGTGTTGGAACAAACGCTGCAGTGACACTGGTTCTGATGGGTTATTCAACAAAACGCTTGCCCAACTATGAAATCATTTTGCAAGCCTACGCCAAAATGAACTCTATAAATCAAATTATACTTATATGGAACAATAAAAATGAACCTTTTTTTAATCTCCATTATGATGTACCGATGACTTTTATCACACCCGAAGAGAACTCCATGAACAATCGTTTCAATGTATCTGAATACCTACATACCGATGCTGTATTAATCGTCGATGACGATGTTCTATTAAACGAAGCATTGATATCGTTGATGTTATATCGATGGATTGAAAATACCGATAGATTGCTGGGATTGGATGGTCGGTTTGTTCATTCGGGTTACCAATATTCTGGTTATGGCCACGGTCATAATTCGTCTCTTGTAATTGGCAAAACGATGTTATTCCATCGGAAATACTTGGAACAATATATGAACGATAAAGTTCTTGTTGAGTGGAATCAACCCCGGTTTTGTGAAGATATTTCAATGAATGCTTTAATTTTTAACGCTACAAAACTGAAGCCTCTTATTGTGCAAATGAATGATTATTGTTATAGAACAAATTTACCAGAAGTAGATGGACTGTCAATTTCAATTCCTGCAAACAGATGGATACACAAACGATCCAAATGTGTACAATGGGTTTCTGAATACTTCAATATAAAATTCTGAAAACCCTTTTTAACATCAATTTCACAAATGATTGTCAATTGACATTTAAACAAAAATAAATGTTTGAATAGGAGATTTGCGAATTAACCTTATAATTGTCTTTGTATCTATTATAGACTTTCACCCTTGCTGATGTATCTTTGATATAGATTAAAGCCCCTTTAAACACATGTATCCTGAAAATCAAGTATACTAATATAAGAATTAGGCGATGTAAACAGTTATAGGTCAACGTACGTGATCTTCAACAATGAACAAATACCGATTTAGACATACGCACGATACTAGTGTGCTTCATACTATACCTCTAGAGAGCGCATAAAAAGACCAGAATTTGTCTGCAATGGTTTTTAAGCCCAATAACAAAAATTATAATCTTACAACTAAATCATATCATTCCAAAGGATTGCCTTTTATGAGGGTGTGGATGGGGTTTACAGAATAGGGAATAATGGGCAAATGTGCAGAATAAAGGGCAAAAAATATAAAGGATAGAGAAAAATGGGCAAAAAATGTAAAGAATACAGAATAATGGGGTGTTAAAATATAAAGAATACAGAATAACGGAAAAAAATTAAAAAGAATAGAGAAAAATGACATAAAAAAAATAAAGAATACAGAATTGAAGCACCCCCATCCAGACCCTCTTTTATCATAGGACCATTAGATATTGCAGTAGAATCGAACAATTGCTGGTCATATAAATTATGACATCGATTTGAGTGCGCACACAACTCGTTTGTGGAGTAACCTTCATTAGCTAAGCCCGATACATAAGTAAGGAAACGCAAATCTATAAAGCTTTTTTTGTTTACAATTAATATCAAGCAGAATGTTCTTATAAGGAAAAATGAATCTTCTAATTCTAGTTTCAAATTCAATCACAGAAAAAGAAAAAAAGAAAAGAAAAATAAGTAACCTTTAAATTCCACTCAAAAGGAGAAAAAAATCAAAATATTCAAACTTATCGATGAAAATGTTTTATTACTATTGTTTTTTTTTTTAAGTATTGACTATACAAGAGAGCATGGAAAGACAATTCTCTACGTCTATAAAACATCTTTAGTTCTGGTGCATCTTATTTCAAATGTAAAAACGACATCTTACTCACACTTAAACGTTAAAGTAATATATGCAACAATATCATTCAGTCAACTGGACCATTTGAGACAATTGAGCGTCCGTCATATTTTTAAAGTCCAAGTTCTCAAGTTTTTAAAAAAACTTTTACTCTGAAACTATCCGGTCAATCTGCGAATACTCTAACTATGTCCCGGGGCCAATTGAAACCAAATTTGGTCAAAATATTCCTCAAACTGCGTAGGTTTCGTATGTTCGGTTTTTTAATAATGAAATGAATGCTTCAATTTATAAGATTCAATTATATAATAACACCTGAAAAACCATTAATTTTTTTTGAAGATTGAATTGTAACTGCGAATACTCTCAGATCTGTATTTTGCTTATTTTGTGTTTTGTTAGGGTCTTTATGTGCTTTGTATCGATCTGATGAGTTAATCAAGACCTTTTCAAAAGGATTTTTATTATTTGTTCTTATATTGTATTTTTACACCACTGTCCCAGGTAAGGGGGATGGTTTGGCGCCAGTAAACATGCTTAACCCCGTCAAATTCTGTATGTGTCTTTCCCAAGTCAGGAGCCTGTAATTCAGTGGTTATCGTTTGTTCCTGTATATCATATTTGTTTTAGTACATTTATCAGGCCGTTATTTTTCTGGTGTGAATTTGTTTTACATTTGTCATTTCGGAGCTATATATATATAGCTTATTATGCGGTATAAGTTTTGTTAATTGTTGAAAGATGATGTCATTTGGTCTTTGGTGGAGAGATGTCTCATTGGCAATCATACCACATCTTCTTATTTTTATACTTCTATAAAAGTTTGATAAATGACCCACAAATGTAAATCGAGATACAATATGGATTTTATACTTTAACTAAAAATGGGAACTTTTACAAATGATCTTTTATACACATTCTAAAAATCAAACAGTGACTTAAATTCCATCAAGCCTTAGGATAAGTTATCCATATAGGTCAGAAGGTCCGTCACATTTTTGTTGATTAACCTTGAAAGAATAGTCACCACCGTTACTAAAAATAGAAAAAAGATGACACACAAACACACAATTATCATGATTATAACAGTAAAAGATCGAATTGCCAACATTTAAATGACAAGTAAAAGCTTATCTAAAAAAATTGTCGTTTTATAGCTTATATTGAGAATTTCTTTTTTTTTTTGCTCAATAGTTTCAGAATATTGCTCTACATATACATTGTAATAGGTTACAAATGTGGACTAGATGAAACGCCAATATAGTACTTATAGGGTTACAACTTTATTTTCGTGCGTGGTGATTTTTAACCCCGGAAAAAGAGCTTAATCTTGTAAATAATTTGCATGTTTGCCTGTACTAATTTCTGTAAACTGTATTAATGAATCAATTTTTCAGCGAGCATTTCAATTATATACTCTTTGTTTGTTTGTTTGTTTGTGTTTGAGAAAAGTGCCATCAATATCTTTCACTATTGTCCCGATAAACCAACTCACAAAGTTTTAGATCCCGATGAATCTTTATCATACCTGAACTAATTGTTTCTCTTTATCCTACTAGAGCAGGTTCCAGTAGTGTATAAGGGTACATAGTTCCTGTGGGGAGTAAATCGATTTAAGGTCCGTCCTGAAAAAAGTCGACCAAATTGACATGTTATGAAGTAAAGTAAATACATGTGTGATTCTCTGATGATCGTTACATTCTGTCTTTGTATTAGTCTTCTTTTTAGTTATTTTTTTTCGCTTTGTCAATATCAATCCGATGAGAAATCCCTTTTCAAGTGGATTTTATGTTTAGTTCTTACATGTACGTCGTGCTTTAACACCACTGTCCCGTGTTAGAGGTATGTTGGGCGCCCGCAAACATGTTTCAAATCTCCAAGTTCGATGTGTGCATGTACCGAAATCATGAGCCTTTATGTCATTTCAATTGGTTGTCGTTTGTTGCTATGAATTATATTTGCTTTTATTGTTTTGTACATAATTCAATGACATGCCGTTGGTTTTGTCGTTTGGTTTTATTTTTACATTAGTCATGTTGGATCCTTTTATAGCTTGCAATGCAGTATGAGTATTCAGTCTCATTATTAAATGCTGTAGGGTGACGTATATATGCTAACATCTACATCATTTTGTCTCTGGTGGATATTTACCTCATTGGTAATCATACCACATCTTCTTATTTTTATGTTATAAATATTTGACTGGCTAATTTTATGGACCGTTTAAAAACATATTTACTAAAACTTTTGTTTTTAACATTTGCTAGCACTATTAACATGCCTCGATCAAAGATCAACTATGCACCATTTGTTGTCAGAACATTATAATACCAATCTGATTAAAATTCTGATCCATATTAACTCGCGTGCTCGTATATATGGGTATAACGAAATCAGAGAACTATATTTTAATTAGATTGATTATAATACAAACATGTGCATGTTAGTTTTCTTGTTTGAATTGTTTTACATTTATCATTTCGGGGCCTTTTATAGCTGACTATGCGGTATGGGTTTTGCTCATTGTTGAAGGCTGTCACCGTCTCATTGGCAATAATACCACATCTTCTTTTTTATACATTTTATTGTAATCTCAGATATTAGCAAACGGAGTTCGTTCCTGTTCATTGCCTTAAAGTCTTCATAATTTATGTATTTAATTTTGCTATTTACCTGATTTTGCGTTGATTGCATATTTTTAAGAGTCTTTATAAAATTATCCACCATTATCTTTCTTTGAAAATTTAGAGCTTAAAATATTGTTAAGACATGTATTCATTGACGAAACCCGAGTGTTGACCTTGTTTAGCTTTGGCGTTTATTTGGTTGCTGTATTATTTATGATACCCTATATCTCTTTTTATTTACACAAATAAATATGGGAACGCTTTGAATATTTTACATACATGTATACCTGCTTTCAAAACAACTTACGGGAAAAAAAAACAAGCAACCGGACCTGTACCGACGCCTATGTGTGTAAAATACCCCTTCCCTAAAATGTTACCTTACCTCTATTATTCGTATTAAGTCTTATTATTTTCCACTTTGGAAGTTGACCTTAGAAGTAGACAGTTTTGTCATCATAATGTCACTGTATCGTGATGGAAATTTGCGTGATAAGGAATTCGGCACATTTCCACATCAACCCATCCCCCTTCTACATTGTCCTTTAAACCATGGACCAATGCATTCTATCTTTTAGTCCCAGTTTAGACCCGGAATAAATGAACATTAGAATTAATCGAAAATAAGTCATTTGAAGATACCCGTTTTCAGATTTTTTTCTGCTTTTGAATTATATCAGTTAATAGATACTTTTAAATTGGTAATTGTTGTTAACTTCAGACAGAAGCATACGCGATCCTTCTTACAAATGATGTTTTATGAACGTAACATTTGAAAATGGTTCTACACAGGCTGATATTCAGTTGAAATTAAACAAAAGAAATGGAACTCTTTATTAAAGAAGGTAAAAAAGGCTAAGTTGGTATATTTGAATTGTTTACATCTGTTTCTATGGGCTTTAAAAATTAATGTATGTGCATAATTCAGGATTTTATGCATCTGATAAACGCGTTTTTACTTTTGAAATATAGTATGGAGCTTCGAGATATTTGTATACACGTTTACATTAAGGACAAATTTCCACAAAACAGTCGATTGTGGTAGCATTAATTTTTTGGGAAAAAATCCTTAAAATGGGCAATAATTTTATCGAAAAGGGAAAGTCGAGTACATTTTTTTTTATGTACAGGCGTGTTTGAGTTGACTATTTAGTCTTGATAACGTATAAGGCAAAAATATTTGATAAATCATCTCGATTCAGATTCGATCATTTTTATTTATTTAGGCTACAGGTTGATATAATTACATTAAAAACTCACAGTACTAAACATGAAATATATGGATCAAGTGAAATACCTTTCTAATGAGTCATAAACACAGAGTTGGTGTGTTTGAATAACAATTTTTTTTCTGAAAAAACCCTTGACGACATACTTTACAAGTGGATCTTAAAAATGCATAACTTCAAAAAAAAATCCATTTTTTGTGTTTATTATTTAGGGTAATTCGTCTCCAACCTCTGAAAATATTTAGTCTGCCCTTTCACGAAATATTCAATTGCACTTATTTTTGTGTTATTGAACTATCGAAAATTTCCCCCTGACAACCGATCAGACAGTAGTTTTAAGTTGACTAATGGCCTAAAATTACATTAAACGATCCTTAATAGCTAGTAGATACATTTGTCTTTTGAAATACAACTGGAATATTATATAAGGATCGTGGTGATGCTAAATTTATCGTTTTTCTAAAGAGCTAAATTGACATAGCGTCATCCCTACAATGGCTTTCATTTTTGCGAAAAATTGGTGGTGTAATGGGGAGCTAATTTTGACGAAGTATACTCCTGACTTTCAACCGTAAGCCCCCGGTCGATGAATTCTCGGGAAATATCGCGTGATTTCATAGTTCGGCTACTTAGGTTATACATGCGCAGTTATCTGTGAAACTGGTGTAGTTTAAAAGTTGATGCATCGTGCTCATATCGATACGATTACAACCATGCGTAAAATGTTCAAAAGATTCCAGAAATGTCGTATTTGGTTGTTCATTGTGTGTTTTCTAGTTCTATTGTTTTTATTAGCTGGGTTTGATGATGTGGAAGTAACATTTGACGGTGATAAACCAGATAGTTTGTATAACCTGTTGGACGAACTAGATGTGACAATACGTAAAAAGTCTCCGGAGAGTAAAATTTACGGTAAGTTTTATTATGTACTATACGACATGTACAAGTATTTCTAGGTTTATAAAGTAGATGAACATATGTAAGCGATCGAAACATAAAGCATATGCATATTGTGTGTGAATCGCGGAAGCGCTTAGTTTCATACTAAGAATGTGCGCATCATCATCGCTTTTACTGCCCCACCCTATGAAATCTTAAAAAGACGCAGTCAATTCTTATAATTGCATTTTTATGTTACAACCCTGAAATTATATCAAGCTAACTGTCACGGGTAGCACGTGCAGTCATATAGCTGTTGCATTTTATACAGAAATAAAATATAAAGTTGGAGTGCTTTGCGATTGTTGTCCCCCAGTCAAAATTACAGATTCTAATGAAACATAAATGTAATGTAATTATAGTGGCAAGTGTCAATTAACATAAATATATATGTACAAAATATAATTCGACACAAAAAATACACTCGACTCAATGGACCAACAAATCAGCTTTACTTTCAATTCATTTAAATCACGGGTTTCATATCACGTGTGAATGCCAATTTAAATTCAAGAGAAAAATAACCATAATAAAATGAGAGTTGTAAAAGTTCAGATCTGTTTCTTCTAAAATATTTGAAACTGTATGTAGAGAAAAAAAACTTGCAAAAACAGATCAAATGACAGCACGATTAGAAAGAATGGTTGTTTTCATTCCAATATGCGGACAAAATGAGCTCAAGCATTTCGCATTGATTAATTCTTATAATAAATATCTATATTCATATACTTGGTATTCAAAACTAATTTACAGCCGAGAAAACTTGCCTTCACTTTTCTATCGAATGGATTTATTTATACAAGTCGAAATTTCTCAGTAAAAAAGATGATTATGTACCCAGAGACATATAGTACACCCTATATCGGTTATACAGATGCAACATGTAGCACCTATCAAAATCTGCTGTACAAGATTACAAAATCCATTGTATTTTTATACAGGTCCTTTTGTATCAGTCATTATAATAGCCGGTAATAGGGGGTATTGCCCATTATTCTCTATTCTGTAAAACCCATCCAGACCCCCTCTATAATACACTTGTCTCTGTTATATCCAAATAAATATTTCTGCTAGATGTGGAGCATACATCTAATGAATTGTCAAGAAAATATTTATAAGTAAAACGGAATTGACCATGAATGCAGATGAAGGCGAAAACACGCCCAATTCGCATTTAGTTACGATATTATATCGTTTTATAAGCATCACGTATTACCAGATACTTAATTGTGATGTGAACATCGGCGGAACACATGCATCTCCAATATTTGATATCTAGGGAGTAATGGTTGATTATAAAAAACAAAGCCATCATAAAAATATATCATATACACACATATCAAAATACTTGTATGCATTAACTTATTTTATGTGAAAATCCGTATCTGACTATAAATCCTTGTTTTAAGGGTAATGTACCCTTTTGGTATTTCAATGCTAAACAATATGGAAACTTTATAAAAAAAAAACCGCAGCCTTCCCCCTTGTTTTCCTATATTTGATAATTCGATGCTTAATAGAGTAATATTGCATGCAGTGCTAGCACTAAAACAAGTATATCAATAAAGATATTGGTTAAAACAAGTATAGAAAATGGACTTATTCAAGTACACCTTCTAGGGTGCGCTCGACTTTAGTGACTCAGTTGTTTTAGGACTTTTTGTAGACAATTAAGTCTGTGGGTTTTGTACAAAAATATTGGCTTTATGCTTTGAACAACGTTTCCGTTTGGTATATGTACAAAATGGCACGTCACTTAATACTGTATTATTTTACTGTTTTGAAATTGCAGCACTTAGACAATTTCGCAATACACAGGCTAACAGAAGGGGTCATAACCTTAAAGTAGACTGTTCATTTAATTTTATCGTGGATTAAGGTTCATCCAGAGACATAATACAGAGTACACCTTTTTACAGTTGACTGTTATGTATTGAAAACGTATGAAACAAATATTTAATACATCTTCGTGCTTCAGATTCTATTATTTTTAAATATTTCAGCTACATGGTGATATAATAACATTAAAAATCACAGTACTAAAAAAAAATATATGGGTCAAGTTAAACCTTTCTGTTATGAGTCGTAACAACAGAGTAGGTGTGTTTGAATAACAACAAAAAAAAGCTTCGTTCTTCTACAAATGTTACAATTTAGGTGTAAATCTGACTTTTTTTGTCAATTTTCGTTCACACATTTTTCAATTAAAATTTAGGTATATTAATTATTTTATTAATGAAATGTACTAAAAGTCGAATACGAATACGAATATTTTATTCTCATAAACATAATGTTACAGAGAAATTAGTATACAATTATAATACAATAATAGTGCATGCGTAAACAAATATGGAAAAAGACAGTACATTTTATTGTGTATGTTTAACACAATTTAACTAACCAGGAGGGACGACAATCGATAATACATGTTTAATAAATCTTGCTAGTTTTTCTAATACAATAATATCAGTTGATGAGAATAACTGATTAAATTTTGCAGTATTTGCATTTTTTTGACAATATTGCGGTAACAATTTTTTCCTTTCTAAACTAAAAAAGTTACAGACTAGTATATAATGGTACTCATCACCTATTTCATTTGAGTCACATACATTACAGGTTCTTTTGTCTCTTTGAATTTTATGCCATCTGCCCGATTCAATGGGCAAACGATGACAGCCACATCCGAATTTTTGAATTAAAAATGTCAGACGATCATTCTTGCTTAAATTGGTCTTTAAGTCCAAGTTCTACACAGTTTTCTATCCAATTTGTGGAAAAATGAGACTGGGATCTCCATACATTTGATAGACCACAATTATCAAAAATACTTTTGACAAATTTCAACCATTTGCTTTCAAAGCCATAATTCTCAAAATGTACAAACAGTAATTTGTAAAGAATTGAGGAGATTTTGTCTTCTTCACCATTTACTAATCTACACCAAAATTTTATCATTCACATTTTAACTGTGAGCGAGATCGGAAATCGTCCGAGTTCTCCATAAATAATGCTATTTGGTGTTGTCTGCTTCAGGTTTAATATGATCTTGCAAAAACGCAGGTGTACTTTTTCTAAAACATCCAAATTTTCAAAACCCAGACCTCTGAACTGTAAAGTAATACTGGTAAAATGGCTTTATCAAACATATCTAATTGACATTCAATTGATAAATTATGTCTTCGCGATTTTTTTAATAAACTATACATTGCTTTTGTTCCCTGGTCTCTTAAATATTTTCTTGTTGTTAAAAATGATCCACTTCTAGCAAAAAATACACCAAGATACTTGTAGTCTTTGACAATTTCTATTTCTTTATGACAAAAATAAAATTTTTCTTTTTCTGACATTCTTCCTCTAGAAAATATAAGAATTTTTTGTTTTTTCAATATTAACTTTCAGTTTCCAATTTTGACAATAATTGGAAAACGTATCTAACATAAACTGTAAATCCTTGCTTGATTCTGATAACAAAATTGTATCGTCTGCATACAAAAACAATAGAATTTTAAGATAGATCGTTAACTCATTTTCTATATCGCAACTGATAGATTCTAACCCTTTTATATTATTTTCTTCTAAATATGATTGAAGATCATTAAGCTACAATGAAAAAAGTACAGGAGATAGATTTTCTCCCTGTCTAACTCCTAATTCACACTTAAAAAACCCTGAACATTCATCATTATGTCTAATATATAATTTAATCCCTTCATACATATTTTGTATAATACGTAAAAATCTACCATTTACATTATTTTGCAAAAGTTTAAAAAATAACGAATTTCTATGAACAAAGTCAAACGCCTTCTCAAAGTCCACAAATGCACAATGGAGTTTTTTCTTTTTAAAACGCAATAACTCAAATAAAGCATATAAAGAAAAAATGTGATCATTTGTAGAATAACCACTTCTAAAACCAGCTTGATTTTTTTTTTATGTAATAACAAGACTTAGTATTCATCAAGATAATTATTTAATGTAGAGTTCAATGTATATGTAAGAGAATGATAATCCCTTTCTTCATGAATAAGTACTTTGCTATATTCTAAACCGAGGTAAATATTTTCCCCAGGCAAGACAACAAAGTAATAGGCCTGTAATTTTTTGGATCTAGCTGGTCGCCTTTGTTCTTAAAAATTGGTATTATTATACATGTAAGCCATGCCTCAGGCACAATACCTGTTTCAAAAATTAGTATATGTTAGAATATAGCAAAGTACTCTCGACCAATGAAATTGTAGGATTGGATGCCTCTTAATTGTGAAGAATGAATGTAAATCATGTTCTTAGTAAGGGATTGTCCTATTATTTGGGTCTATTTACAGTTCAAAACAAAGAGTTTCTATAAATGAGTTACAACTGCCCCGAAGCACATTTATCAGATTGAAAGGATTTATCACAAAGTGATTGAAACTGACTAAAAGTTGAATTGTGAAACAAACAAAAATCTCAAAATAAGTTGAAGTTTACTGGTGCAGTAAAATTGGAACCGTGAATTTTATTATGAAAATATTAATAACTTCAAATTACTATAAAATTAAACAATCAATACCAAAGCAATGCAAAAAAAAAAAGAAGAAAAAAAATCTTTCAGATAAAAAATAACCTAAATCTTTAGCTTTCCAAAACTTTGCTTACTTGATCAGCGGTTGGGGAGAATAGTTATTTCCAATACATGTTTTCCGATAAAAAAAACAGGAATTTAATTTTGAACATATTAAAAACTTTTAAGGGCATTATTTTGAACATTTCCCTGACATAATGAAACAGTATTTGATGTAAAAAGCCGGACCAAATTATTGGCTGTGAAATAAAATTTAGTTGTTACTCAAATGTATTAATTGATATAAACTGTAAATAAAAAAAAGGAGAATTCCTTACTAAAATATTACATGATTTAAATTCATACTCACAATCAGGAAACATACAATTCCTACCATTTCTTTCTACTGTTGTGTCACCTAGTATCT